GTCCCTGGCCATCCATCGTCATTATTTATAGTCTACAGAGATAATGACGGCCTGTGTGTTCATCGGCAGGAGGGCAGCGGGGGCATCTTCTTTCGGGCTGGGCGTGTTTCATCTCATTAGGGCGTCTTACATCCTGCGACCGCCATTGAGAATGGGGGTCGACAAGCCCCTTTGGCGTGTTACAGGCCAGTGGATGGCCTCGGGAAGGGGTCGACAGGCCTCTTCGGCGTGTTACAGGCCGGTCGACGGCCTTGGGAGGGGGTGGCAGGTCATTATCTCTGTTCACCAGAGATAATAACGGCCCTGGGGCTCTGTGCACATCATTATTTCTGGCAACCAGAGATAATGGCACTCAGGGGACCTCACGGAGGTGTTTTGGGCCCAAAACGTAACATGGCCGTGTTACAAAAAGTATATTAATAGGGCGGAGGTTGCAGTTGAACGTTGGACATTGAACATCGAAACGTTGGCGTCCTGCTCTGGTGTCGATTGCAAGTCGATATCGATGTGGGTGCTGAGGAGAAGATCTGCGTTGGTGATTATCTTATCTTATCTCTAAATTCACACGTCACCACACCGCCATCGATCAGCGTTTGACCTCCCCAATCCGCCTCCTCTCGTGCCCAAGTTCTCGAGTCCTCGTCCATCTTCTATCACCATCTCGAGCACTGTGTTCTAAGCTAAAGTATACCCCAACCTCGTCATGCCACCCCTCCACCTTCTCTGTCCATATGACAAACACAGCTCCACACCCAGCCGCTCCCCTGCCCCGACGTCGACCTCAATCCCCGTCTTGCGTCAACCGTCTCTAGGACGAGATGCATTGTATTGTCCCGCCTATGATTGGGAAACTGAATGTCGGCGTCGATGTAGACGTTCAAGCCCGGCACGCACGGGGGAGTCGCTCGGGGCCATTGTCGTGCTCTGATCGGCTATTCTCAGTCGTTTGGCGGGTCTTTTATTCCTTTCACGCTACTCGCTGCCGAAGTCTCGACGACTCGAACAATTGTTCATGCGGAGCGGTGGACTGATGCTTCTGGGAGGGGAGGATGGGCCCGAGAGGGAGGAGTTCCATGTTCGAAAAGCCAATTCTTGGTATGTCTTCTCTTTGCTTACCTTTCGCGATCTTCAGAGCATCCCTTTTCAAACAGGACCTCATCTACAACCTCCCCTCCGAACTGGGAACTCCGTCGAACGAAATTTATGCCTAAAACGACGTTGTCCTTTCCAAACTCTTCCAGTGAGCTTGCCCCGTAAACGCTCGACGTTGGATCTAGCGCTACTGTCACCCCCAAGTCCGTCATGCGTGAATCCATTCCCTTTTGTCACTTTTAATTCCATCTTTCCCTCGTCCTGCTCGTGTAGCTGAGCATATCTCTAGTCGACGCTGGAGCCAGTTACCCTTCTGGGCGTTACGCTGCTGCTCTTCTCTCCGACGACTTACATGTCCTCTCTTTCGCGCCTCGTGTCGCCGTCCGAATTAGCTCCGTATCCGCACCGCTAGAGGTTACCGTACAGATCTTGGGTGCCATCTGACTTCTCTGTCTAGTAAGATGGAGGTTCAGGAGCAGTCTCAGATAAAATCTGTTTTTCCAGCGGTGCGGACTGCGTCGACAGCAATTGGGCGGCTCTTCTTCGACGCATTGTCTCTCCCCTTTTCATCTTCAGGTCTCTTCTATCCTTCGGCACCAGCATCACGGTGGGGATTTGTATACTATGTGCCTCCACCGACCGATCCGCTTGCGCTTATTCGTGGGCTACATCGACGGCTGAGATTACGCGATTTCTCCGCCCACCAAGCTTTCCATTCGTCTCGATGCTGCGTTCATGTGTTGATTTGCACCTATGCGCTTGGATCTCCTCTTATGCTGGGTCGTCCTCGCTCTGAATGATACGCGACGGCCTTCATTTCGAGTCCGAGTTGGCGGGAAATGCTCGTCGTTGGATTGCGCCGACTTGATGCCTCCTGCCGGGCCATCTCGGACCGTTCTTACAAGCCCTTTGCCCTAATTGAATTCTCGCATCTTCGTCTCGACCACCACCATCGATCGTTCGCTCTGTTCAACAGTCTCAACCACCTCATGGGCCTACTCGACAACTGTGTTCATACAATGACAGTAGTTCGACGTCTTTTCCAGTGTCGGCCAGCTCTAGCGAATGTCTACGTTCGTGCTTCTCTTGTATCTCCCTCGCCGCTGGATGACGCGTCCTGTCTCATGCCATCCATAGTTAGGAGATTTTGAAGAAACATGGCGGAGACGTTTGGCCCTCACTAAGGATCCGCAGCGCACTGTCTTCGTTCTTTGATGGATACACACTCACTCGGTGTTCGCTAACGACCCCAATACTCGATGCGAGCGGCACAATTTCTCAAACGGCGATCGAATTGCTTGTATTATTCCGCGAGAGAAGGAAGGACGAAGAAGAGAGCCGTACCTCCTGGTTCGACGAACTGGACGGTAGGTGAGCCAGCTCTGTATTCGTCTCGCGATCTTTGACTCATCGCTCTCCATCTAGACATTTCTTGTGTCGGTCGTTCATCTCCTCCGCCTTCCTCGTGTGAGGTGTCTCGTCTCGATATTGCCGTGCAGCCTTTCCGTTCCTTCCTCCTTTGCCCTTCGTCTCGAACCGACTCTCCGAGTCTTGTCATGCTTATCTTACTGCATATATGCGTCTGCGAGCGCTGAACTCGCATATCTTTCCCCTCCTCTCATCATTTCGCCGTTCCCTCAACCTTGACGTCTTGACGATCGCGTCTGATCTGCCGTCACTCGGATCCGCCACCGTCCGAAGCTTGTGCTAACCGTCTGAACTGTCTATGCCTCATCCGCATCGGAAGAGAGGGGTGTCTGAAACCCTTGAACGCCATTTGTCTTGTCTGCATGGCATATTAGGTGTTGAAGAGTTTCGCCAGAGTCCCTGTCATTCTCGGTGCGGATGTTGACAATGAGGACAGGCCCCTTCGATGATGCCTCCCGCGACCTGTATGCTCGAACCCAGGAGTATGTGGTTTATATCCTTTCCTCCACACCGCCCATTCGTCCTATCTTTGAATCATTTTAAACATGCTCCGACTGACACGTTCCTACTTACAGGTTCTCCCTCTATCAAGCTTGAGGGTTTCACAAATAAAACATCACCTCATCCGCCAAGGACCATAGTCTCAACAGCGTCGATATCTTCCCTCATCTAGCATGAGCGCCGTAGCGCCCCTTCGTCTTCTCCTTTCGTGTTAACGTTCATCACGCGGCCCGGACGCTGCCGCGGCCTTTGCCCTGGCTTTCTCACCATTCCGTTCGTCTCTTCTCCCGCTATCTCGATTCTCCTCTGTCCAGGCGACGTCTCTACCGTACGCTGCAGTGCCAACACTATGCGCATGCCCTCGCTGACTCCATCCCCGCCAACGTCCGTTCCACTGCCTCGTATCTTACGTGGTTGGGAGATTTCCCAACTGCGAGGAGTTGATAAGGGCTTTGGCGCGCGTGAAGTCATCGTGGCGTGCCATCTTAGTTCTCTGACGGATTCCCCTCTGACAATTATTCGTCAATGATTTCAGTGCCATCTGGTGCAGTCTTTGTGATCTCTCGAACAATGGACGACTGGCTTGGAACGTGAGACGAGTAGAAGGGAAGGCAAAGAAGGTTTCTGGTGCGATTGTTTGAGCATCAGTTCGTCTTGTATATTTTCATTTAATTCCTGCAACCTACAACCAGACCCTCTTCGTACAGGCGTCGTTAGCGTTGGCCAGACCGTTCTGAGGCGCTCAGCACCGCTAACTTCTGTCCACATTGTTGGCACCGCCAAAGAAGTGCGGATTTCTCATCCGGATGCCGTTGTAAACTCCGAGTCTATGAACCAGGAGGATGGGTGTAGGGGTCAAGGCTACATTCACTTTCCACAGGCACATTGTGTCCTTCATCGATTATCGATCGCTCGTCTTGAAGGCGTTTTTTTTTCCCTCTAGGACCTCTTTTATCCTCACTCCATGTAAGCCTTGATTCTACGTACTCCGCTCAATCTTCGACACTGGCCGCTCCTGTATTGTCGCCACCTCTCGGGTTCTCTTCTGCTTTCCCACTTCGACTGTCAGCACATTTTTGCCTTCCCTTCTTTACCGTCTTTTCTTCACGTCTACTTAGAGGATTTTTCAGCCGTGAAAGGATCGTCTGCTCATACGTTTCGAGGATTGTGCCGAGAGCAGGCCGAAACACCATGCGCACTACTGCAGCTCCACGGTGCTTTCCTGCGCCCTTTTCGTCCCAGACACTCTCTGTATCCTCTCCCGTTCTTCTCTTTACTCTCTCACTAAGGACGCCGGCGATCATCCGCTGGGTAATCCTATGCAATTACGGACGTTTCCGACACTGCGTTCGATCTTCGGCATCGTGCAGGTCCGAATTTCAACGGAGTTTCTGGCGACACTGCTCTATGATACATTCTGAATGCAACATAGGGTTATTCAGAGGAAGGTTCTGCTTGTGCCTTGTACCCCCACATCATGATTCTGCTCGCTCTTTCGTTTCATCCCCCGTTTCTCCCTTCTGGGTCCAACTTAATCCATTTTTGTTTCGTTCATTCCTGTTGTACACGTGAAGATCATTACGTCGCGTTGACGGGTTAAGTAGCCGTGGGCGTGTTGATCTCTTGTTTTCAACTATAGACGTCGCCTCAGGTCTGTTCGGGATTGATCCATCGTCGTGCTCTCCGGTGCTCGATCGCCCAGATCGACCTCATTTCTTCAATCCCTCTGCATCTTGCTCGCATCCTACCCCAAGGCGTGATGACGGGAAAGACGGGCGGTCACCATCAAATCGTAGACAAGAGCCCTTTGGCTAGGTAACAATGGGCACATCAGTGGTTTGAAAGGTCCAAGCCGTAGAAAAACACGACGCGCTGTGAGTGGCTCTAAGACTGGACTTTGACCAGAGCCACCATCTGTGGAATCTGTTTAAATCCCCTTCCAACACCGTCGACACGAACACATCCTCATTCCATCCTTGATGGAGAACGACACGGCGACACGGGCTAAGGACACACTCCAATCACTCTGGAGGGATGTATTCTGCACCGGATTCTCTTCCAAGGCACCGTATCAGTCATTTGTCGAGAGGTTCGGTCGTCATCTACCCAGCCAAGACCAAATTTCGGCATTCTTGACCGAAGGAGAGTTATATGCCGAGGACGAGGAGCAGTGGTCCACGATCCCCAAGGACATGAGCCACAGCGACCTCGTTCTCGAGCTGCAGCAAATTCTGCAAGGGGTCATGGACGACTTCGAGTATGGCAGCCGAGCAATTCATGCCCTCATTCGGGACGAGCTTCTCGTGCCGATTCATCGACCAGACAAGGAGAGCGATAATATCTGGGAGATAGAGGTGGTTCCCGACCTTATCATCACGGGCGAAGGAAGCGCCTATCGATCTACCCTCAGAGACGAAGGGAATGACCCAAATTCATGGGACAAGTACATGCCGCAGACCTCGAGCGTGATAATGGTTCGCACGTGCGACGAGGTAGAAGATCCCGAAGGCAGCCTCAAGATCGAACTGGAAGCAGCGTTTTATGCCCAGTGCGTCGTCCCTGTTATCTACAATTATGACTACATTTTCATTTAATTTTCCTTCTGAACAGACAATGCTTTAAAAATCAGGGAAATCGCCTCTTTTGTCTCGTCCTCCTTGTCACCGAGGAATGGGCGAAGCTCTTTTATTATGACCGTGGAGGGTGCCTTCAGACGCGGTCTATTTCCATTCATGACTCTCCGGAAGAGTTCGTCTGGTACCTCCTTCTGATCTCTTGCCCCAACGACGAGGTTCTGGGTTTCGACAAGAGAATTCGCTGGAACGCCGAAACACAAGTCCATACCATAACCACAGTCGACGAGGACGACAACGAGATCGAATATCGCCTCGCAAATCCCGAGCCGCTCTTCAGGTGGAGTAAAATCAAAGGACGAGCTACGACCTGCTGGGAAGTCGAGGGAAAAGA